GGGGGGGCGCACACACATGATGACGTCCTGATGGATGCTGAAACTGTTGAGACCCCCAGACTGGAGTGGCCCCACTACAGACATCAACAGGTCACTTGGGGATTTAACAGATCAGCTCTTCACCATCTTCACCACGTATCTGTCCTCTCCTCATATCAAAGATCTGACAACATGTCAGCTCCCGATCTGCCATTATGTCTGTGAATTTGTGCTTTTATGGCAGTCAGATGCGAAGTCTGTCTGGAAGTGTAATCTCTAATCCCCATCACAATTGTCCTCTTGACATCCAGATTCATTTCATCAGTGGACATAGGTACTGGACACAGCAGTTTGTAATCCTATTGATGTGTCTCTGCCTGGAGAGATTCTAGAAGTACAGTTACATCTAGTGATAGAGTTAGGTATACTGACATAAGATCTAATTTGTTTACCAGATTTCCTTTCCCCCTTTGTCAGAAGATAAAGTTGTACATGTATTTCCATTGTGAAGGGTGGAACTTTAACTTGGGATTTACCGATTTTACCAGTGAAGGGATCGACACATTTTACCAATAAAGATTTTTATTTTCATTTAGCATAGTTTCCCTGTTACTATTGCATGTATGATTGTTTTAAATAAAGAACCAAGTAACCTTATCCATCTGCCAAGCCATATCACATGTCTACCAAACCATATTACATGTCTACCAAGCCATATCACATGACTACCAAACCATATCACATGTCTACCAAGCCATATCACATGACTATCAAACAACACCTTACATTTGGCGAATGACTTCCATGAACATCAAACCATGCCTGTCACCAAGTCACACCAGTTAACCAAAGTGTATTTCTGAAGCGTCCAGACTATGCCCTTGTTAACCAAAAAATGCCTCATTCTCTCAAACTGTGTCCTTGTCTTTCAAACCAAATATGTTGCTACCGAACCATGTCATTTTTACCCCCCTGTCTAGCCATCTACATCCTGTCCACCAAATTATGGCCTGTCCACCAATCCATGCCTGTCTACCAAACTACCACCATTCTATCAAGCTTTATGCCTCTGTATAAAATATTACGACCCTATCAATGAAAGCATATTGCTCACCCACCAAATCATATGCCTTACATCAAGGGTGTTACCCCTGATGATTAGCTTGACATTTGAGATGTGCACATTGTTGTGAAATGTAGCAAAAATGATGGGTTATTTACTGGACATTTATGTTGTACATGGTTAACACAGTTTTACAAGTATTCATGAATCATCTGATATAGTGCAGTGAGGATCTCTGTACTGTGGCCACCCTATCCTCAACAGATACACGAGCTGTAACATTAGATTGGATTCGGATGATCATCATTGTAATTGTGCTATATGGAAAGCTATTAAGTCTACAGGGATAACACTGCACAGTAGTCCTTCTGGATATCAGTTTGCCGAGTTTATAGTCCACAATGTTTAGGTATCTGAGTTGAAATGTTCAAGTATCATGAGAGAAATCCATTTTCATTAAGTTCGGAGGTTTTAAATTGTGTGTGTTTGTACGGTGTAATTAATAAAAAGGGTAGTTATCATGGTAATGTTATATCCCTTGGCTGGGCAGAGATCGGGTTTATATTCCCTGGAGTATTTCAATCAACATTTTACAAAATCACCTGTTGTAAATAATTCAGACAAGATCAGAAAGTGTAAATCTTGTGGACTGTCTTAGAGAAGTATATCTTGGATAACAAAGGTAAACAAATATTTAGTATAAGGATGAAAGATCTCATATATATATCAATGTTTTAAAAATTCTGTATGTACTTGTACTGTATATAACCTTTGGGAGTAAGCAGAGTAAATATGAAACAGAACCTTCTTGAGAGAAAAGTTCATGTACACTTACAGCTAGGAACAGTAAGGTGTTTGTGCTGTATTCTCTGAGCTTCGAGAGTTGATGCTTGCCGTACATAGCTATGAATAATACATTATTGTGAATTTTCATATTGTTTCTGTTTAAGAATGTTTTTTTTTTTGTGTGTTTCAGGATAAGAAGGAGATTCCTTGGTGGTTAGGAGCAAGCCACAAGGGTATTTCAGTGTACGACAAGACCGACAAAACCACCCCTAGGAAGGTGAGTTATCTCCCCTTACTTCTAGACCTTATAATGGTACCGTACCAGGATTCAGCAAGTATTGAAACAGGATCAGTATCAAAGTTCTGAGCAAACCAGGAAAAATGTGGACATTTTTCAGTAGTTTTAACATTATTGACATTCTTAGAATAATTTATTTTCTAAACGTATCAACCTTTTAAAACCAGTACTTCTTTTGTTTTCAAAATGTGCATTTGTTTCTATTGTAAAATGAACTCCACAAATGTAATACCAGGGCCCACTTGTATAAAACATCTCAACTCTTGAGATTTCCTCAAGATTAAGATTACCCATTGCTTGAGATTTTCCTTAACTTTGAGATTTTTTATACAAGTGGGCCCAGGTTAGGTACCTTTAAGAAAAATCTCAATGGTAAATTCAATAAATCAGTTAATGATGATAAAATTGATATTTTTTATGAAATATGTTTTTGAAAAATATTGGAATTAAAAACTAAAACTCCAAATGCAAAAAAATGTTAATTTTCAAGCATATGTAATAAACATTTTGGAAATTTGTGTTTATGGCTCCTTAGCTGATTAGGCTTGGAACATCTGGTTACCTTAATGACAACTTTAACCAAATTTTTAATCTTTAATATTTTCAAAAAGATTAAAATTCAAACTTAGAATTTTATTTGGAAGGATTCAATGAGATCATTTTAGGAAAAGTTGCAAAAAAGTGTTCTTAAATTGTCAGATATTTCCCAAAAAATGCATTTTGATATGATTCTTTGCAATGCCAGGTTTGTTAGAGCAGATATGATGTATGGCCCTACAGGACACCAGACATATATATTGTTATGATTAGAGGGTTCGCAGAAACTCTCTGTCGATTGTATAATGTATGGCCACACACCTAGTGTAGCTAACATCAGTCTTGCAGTGATTTGAGAAAATTAAATCTTTAAAGCATGTTCCAAAATAGAAAATTATACAAAAGAGTTGTTAAACATACAGACTTTCACATAAATGTACGTTTCGATGCTGCATTTCCCGTAAACTGTTTATCTTGGTGATGGAAACCAGTAGATGGCAGTGTAGACTTTGGATCTCTTTCACTTTAATTCCCACAGCAAGCAAAAACCACCATTATAACATGATTACAGTATAGGGAGAGTTTATTGCCAGTCACCTCCATCTGCCGTGTTTATTTTCCTGAGTAATCCTCACAGCAGCAATCCCTGTAGACATAACACTGGTCTATCCTCTCTGATACCTGATGTAATGGTTTGTGTGATGTATTAGGTGGGGACATCTATAGGGACTGTAGCACAACAATTGAGGGTTAATGTATGAAGGGGCTGAATAACTAGAGTGGATCTTAGCTGGTGTTAGTGAGGGTTGTATTCCGTTTAATCTTAGCTGGTGTTAGTGAGGGTTGTATTCTGTTAAACCTCAGCTGGTGTTAGTGAGGGTTGTATTCCTTTAAATCTTAGCTGGTGTTAGTGAGGATTGTATTCCTTTAAATCTCAGCTGGTGTTAGTGAGGGTTGTATTCCTTTATATCATAGCTGGTGTTAGTGAGGATTGTATTCCTTTAAATCTTAGCTGGTGTTAGTGAGGGTTGTATTCCTTTAAATCTTAGCTGGTGTTAGTGAGG